TCCCCAGATGGTGGTTTTGAAAACGACCGGAGAAACGTGGTTGCCGGCATCCATCCACCAGTCGGGACTTCGGGCTGGACGTCTGTATGTTGGTGCTGAATCCTCCAAGGGACAGGCAGGGGCGTGCGGAGCTGGACCTGGCTGGGTTTGACCCACTTTGGATATGGCTCACTAGCTGAGAATGGCAATTCTTCTGCAGCCTCAGTTTCCCCATCAGTAAAACAGAGGGTCCTCCCCTCTACCCTTCGGAGCCTTGGTTTCCCTCTGGAAAATGGGATGTGACTATTAGACAGTGCTTGGTTCATGATGAAGACTAAATGGATTTTCTCCCCAGGCTGAAAGTTTCACAAGCGCAGGGGCCAGGTCCTCCCAGGGAGCAGCCCAGGGCCTGGCTCAAATCCTTGTTGAATGAATGAATGAACAAATGAATGAGCTGCATCCTAGGCTCTGATCGACTCCTCCATTGCTGTCCCCTTAAGACCTTCCCACCCTCTCTGGCATCAGCTCGTCTCTTTCTAACAGTTTGTGCCCCTGAAAAGGCCAGGAATGTGGCAGACGAGTCACCACATGTGACCTCCCATGACCTCCCACCCAGGTGTCGGAGCTCAGAGCCTCGGCCCAAACTCAGGTTTGCGATCTATCCGCCAAAGCGGGTTTTCTGGGCCAAAGGGACTGGCAGGATTGTTCCCAGACATCCTGCTGCTGGGATGGCGTGTGGGACAGGGCTGAGGCAGGAGGAGGCCCAGGTACACATCCGCACAATCCTTGTGCCTGCAGTAATGGGCATCCCCAGGGCGGCCTGGCTGTGAGGATGACCCATCCACTTGGCAAACATCCCATGAGGCCACCAGTGCCGGGCCTGGGTGCAGACAGCACAACACAGCTGGTACACAGCAAGGAGAGAAGGCTCCACCCTCCCCCAGGGGCCCATGACAAGCCCCCAGGTTCCTTGCTGACATTTGCCGCTGGCGAGGTTGGATGGGCTCTCCTCTGTGTCATGGGCACTTGGAGCCGTGCATGTCCCCTGCACCAGGAGATCTTGCTAGGGACCCTCTCTCGACCCCTTCTCTGGGCACCCACAAACCCAGCTCAATTCCTCCCTGCCCTGGGCTGGTGTACTCGGTCCTGGGCTGATTCCTCACAGGGCTCCAGTACCTGCCAGCCAGGTGACCACAGGGATGTGGTCTCACCTCTCTGAGCCTCAGTTTCTTTTTCTGTAAAACGGAGATAACAAGCCTTATTGTGGTGATTCTTTAAAAAGCAAAATGTTTTTCAAACATTTTTTGTAAGCCTCGTTTTCTTTGTTAACGCACCTTTTCAGTGAGTCCAGTGGCTACAGAAAACTGAAGTAAAGGACAGCTCTCGGAAGGGCTGAGGTGGTCCCAATCCCAGTGGCCCTGGGCTCCTCAAGGTAGAGTTTAGAATCACACAGGCCAGCACCTGCCTGCATGCAGTGGGCCCTCAGGAGGCGGTTCCACCTGTCCCCTTACCATGCCACTTGGTACTGACCGTGTCTGCCCTTCAGCCCGTCTGGGGTCCCTTGAAAGCCGGGAAGGCTGCATAATCACATGTCCCCTGCACACAGCCCAGGGCCAGGGCAGTCGGCTCAGGGCAGGAGAAGGAAAGCACTTGTGCCCTGTGGCCAGGCCAAGCACTGGGGTCCAGCATGCCTGGACTGCTTGTAGCTGATGGCGTCGCCCCCAACCACAGCTGCTCTTCCAACCCCGAGAAGTGGCGTGGGCCCTGCACGGCCGTGGGTGTGGGCAGCCTCCCTTCCCACCCCTGATGCCAGCCCAAGGCTGCCCTGTCACCACCACCGAGAGAGCAGGGCCCGCTCTCCCGGCCCCACAATTTGTCTTGCAGCTGTGCCGTTGCTCGGAGCGAGACACTTGCTTGTAGCTTGTGAGCTGTGTATAGGCAAATCTTTCATTTTTCTTTCATTACGCCGGCGTGTACTGTCACTTAATTTTTATGTATGCAATCCTTCCTGACAAATATGATCTGCTGCCTGGTAATTCGTCTGACGCTCATTCTGTTCCGCGCTCTAATTACGGCTCCTATTCCTGACACCGAGGCAGTCGCTCTGCCACTGCTGGGTACCGCACCTGTCAGCCCGACCATGGCACTGACTAATGCCCTTTCATGCCAGCCTTGTGTTAGCAAATACAGAGACAGGGAGGGGACCAAGAGAAGGGGAGGCAGGAGAATATCAGATTTGCATAAGCCCAGATCTCGGGTCAGCAGCCTTAGGAGACGAGGTGGTTACCGGGGCAACGTGGCTACTGCCACAGCATCCCCACATAGTAGGTGCACATTAGATGCGGTGGATGCATAATTCATACCCACGCACAGAGTGTGAAGGGGCCTCTGCCCCATGTCCTTCCTGAGTCACGATGCACTGGTAATTAGCTCAATCTCCTGCCTGGCCCGATGTGTACGCAGAAACTCGCTGTGGAAGGGTCTTGGCTCTGTGCTGTCACTTGTATCTTGGCTCTGCACTGTCACCTGTGGGTGCAGAGGCAGGCCCTTGGTCTGGGAGCATGTCCTGCAAACAGGGCCTTGCAGAGCCCCCGGGCAAGGCTCAGCTCAATGGGCATCTCCTGGACGCTGGGCACATGGCCCAGAGCAGGGACAGATCCCAGGAGGGCTCCTTCTACCCATCACACGGCCCAGTCAGCTGCTCCAAGGCCTCGGGAAGAGCCCAGCTTACGAGGACGGCCTTTTCCTCAAGTTCCAATTCCTTCTCATTAATATAATAAGTGCACCAGTCCAAGTCGATAAAATCACACTGTCGGACGAGACGCTATCTGTGCCCGTTCCTAATGATGCGATCCTAACCCGCTGTGACGGAGTGCCGCAGTCCTTCCCGCAGTGGACCGAGGAAGGCCCAGGCCTGCCTGACAGGGGACAGGAGGCAGTGGTTTCAACTCCCCTCTTGGACAGTTCTCCTTGGATTTTTTGGCCTTTTTGCTGCTCTTAAACTAGCTAGGTAGACAGTCCAAAACCGATGGAAACACTTTTTCACATAAGAAGTGTCTCAGGGGACCAGGAAAGACAAGGTTTCCTTCCAGCAACAAAGGGGGCAGCCGGGGTTTCCAGAGGGAGGTTCCGCCGCTATCCTCCCAGATCCCCAGTCCTGGCCTTCTGGAAGGTGCCTGGGCTCCGGCAGGAGAGGCCTGCGTCTGGGTCCTGGCTCTGCTGCCATGTGGCCTGGGAGGAAGTCACTCAAGCTCCCTGGAGTTTCGATTCCTCGTCTGCAGCAAACAAGGATCCTGTGGCCTCTCAAGGCTGTTAGAGGCAGGAATGGAGTCCCACACGTGCCCTGGGTGGCAGGTCCTTGCACATCCTTTTTTTTTTTTTTTAACTTTTTGTTTTTGCCATTGAGGTATTTTATTTTTTATTTTATGTTTTTTTGTTTATTTTTTTTTAAAGATAATTTATTATACATATACGTGGGGTACAAAGTTGACTTTCAGTAGTTGTATACAATGTGTGATGGTCAGATCAGGAGAGCGAGCTTATTCATCATTGCAATACGGAATCATTCTTTGTGTCTCTTAACCAATTTCTCATTAACCCCCGTCCCCTCCCGCTTTCCACTTCTAGTAATCACAGTTCTTTTCTCTCCTTCTAAAAGTTCACATCCTTTCCTCTGGAGCTATAGGAAGTGCTCCTGAGGCCTGGCCAGCTGTCCCCAAGGGTCAGATGGGGATGAGAGTTTCAAAACAAACACCCCCCTCCCTACACACCTCCCACCCACACACGCTCTCTCCTATACACAGCTCAGAGCTGCTGATCTCCAGAGATATTACATTTCTCCCAATTGCAGGCTATATGCCAAGTCTCTAAGCCATCGGGACCTGTACGAACAGTGACAGTCTCCGTAGGAGAGTGTATCTTCCAGAAAGTACCTTCACTGTCACCAGAAGATGTTTGCACACGCAGATTGCTGCAGTCACTCAGGGCTGGGGGACGGGACACACCCTGTCTTGAGCTGTGAGTGGAGTGGGAATGAGGGAGAACAGAGCGGTTTCCAAGGGAGGTGGCTGGTGCACGTGGGGCGACTCCCTCCTGTCCACACGGGCTGTGTCTGCCCACGTCTGGGGCAGCACACAGGAGGCGAGCCTCGGGAGCACCTTCCTCTACCAACGCTCCTCAAAGAGCCGGAGCTGGCTCTGGGGAAAGCAGGGGACCCCGTCCATCCCCTGGGCCTCTGCAGAATGTTCTACAGGGCAGCCATGGTGAAACCCTGATGCGCCCTGTTGTAATGCACAGGAGACCCTATTTCCATCTTCCACTGGGGCGCCTTGTTGGTTCTTATATTCATATCAAATGAAAAACTCCCTCGTTCATCATTGCACGTTTCCATTTAGTTACATGCCAGCATAGGATTCTGAAGCTCACCATTGCTTCACATGACCCGAAACACAGATCTGACCAAGTCTTTTCCCCAGTCCTGCCCTTCAGCGCCGCCTGAGCTCCCAGGACAGTGTCCAGCCCACCCGGCTCAGCATTCAAGGCCCCGCCCGCCTTTCTTACCCCTCCCCCTGCAGCCCTCCCAGGACCCTGCTCTCCAGCCACAAGCCACCCACGCAGCCTCACCCTATTCCCTTTCCTGGAGCGCTGTCCCCTCCCTCCCTGTCCCACCAGCATCTGTTCACCCTCCACAGTCCAGCTACAAGGTTGCCTCCTCCAGGGTGAGGGCCTGGCCCCCACAGCTTCAAAACTGTCCATTCAAAAGCCAAAAACTGGAAACAGCTCAAATGTCCACCCCCAGGGGATAGGCTGAGTGTGGTGAACCGAGGATGGAGAACCATATGGCAACGGTAGGGCCGGGAGGCCCCAGCTGGGCTCCTCCAGCCTCAGTTTCCTCCTCTCGGAGTCCCTATTCTGAACAGACGAGTAACTTCTAGTACTCAAAAAAGGCATGTTCTTGCACTAACCAAAGGCATGTGGGGAATGTTTGCATCTTGCTACACGGTCAACAGGATCCCCCTTACCTAGAGAGTGGGCTGCGGTGGTCTCAGAGCTGAAGAAGCGGCCCAGACCGAGGTCACCGAGCTTCACGACGCCTGTGGCCGTGATGAACACGTTGGCAGGCTTGATGTCTGCAGGGGAAGGAGGTGGGGAAGAAAGGCCCTTCAGGCGACGCGTCCTGCCCCCTCAGCGCGACGCCCTGCCTGGCTGCTCGGCACTGGCTACGGGACTGGGAAATGGACCGTCTCTCTCTGAGCCTCAGTTTCTTCATCTGTAAAATGGGTCTAACTTCACCTACTTCACAGGGCAGCTGTGAGGTCCAGGAGGGCAGGGACTTTTGTGCTTTTGTCTTTTTCTTTTTTACATCTGTATCCCCCATGCCTAGAATAGTGCCTAGCACACAGTAGGTGCCCAGTGCAAACTGTGTGACAAACAGACGAAGCACTCTGTGAGGTCACCTGTGCTGTACCCCAGTGACTAGGGCAGTGCCTCGTGTACAGGAGACACCAATAAATACAGGTAGAGAGAATGAAGGGAGGAATCCGTGAAGTAACCTAACTCAGGTCCCCAGCACCCTGCCTGGCACCCAGCATCCCTTCCTCACAACTCAGGATGATGTCAACTTTCGAAGACACTCCTTTGTCAGTGTCTCACCTTCTTGTCCAGCCAACTCCTACTAAGATGTCAAAGCCCATATGAAAGTTCCCTTCCTGGGGAACTGGCCATGTTTGGGCTGTCTGTGCTGGCCCCGGGCTGGTGTTAGGGACAGGGGACAGTGGGCTGAGCATGGCTCCCATTCCCTGGGGCTCACGTAACTATCTAGCACCGGGTGCCTCCACCATGGGAGGTCCCTGACACAGGGCAGGTGTGTGTGGCGTTGTTGGAAGCCCAACTGTGTGGAGAATACAAAGTGGTCCAAATTCCCCAAGGTGCTCCCTGAGGAACCTGGAGGAGCCAAAGAGAAGCTTCTTCCTGGGCCCAGGGCACGTGGCTTGGGTGCCTCCACCATGGGAGGTCCCTGACACAGGGCATGTGTGTGTGGCGTTGTTGGAAGCCCAACTGCGTGGAGAATACAAAGTGGTCCAAATTCCCCAAGGGGCTCCCTGAGGAACCTGGAGGAGCCAAAGAGAAGCTTCTTCCTGGGCCCAGGGCACGTGGCTTCCTGCAGGTCCCTGCCCCCAGGTCCTGGCAGGGTGGCACGTACCTCGGTGCATCACCCGGCGTGAGTGCATGTGCTCCACGGCGCTGCACAGCTGCACGAAGTACTTCCACACCGTCCTCTCGGGGATGAGCCGCTTCTGCTTCTTAAAGTACTGCAGTGGGGTAGACAGACAGATGGACAGGCCCAGGTGAGCGGGCTTCAAGGAGGGTGAATGCAGGGTGCTGTTCCTGTCCTGTCCCCAGCGGGCAGCTGGTGCCTGGCATGGGGTAGGTGGTCAGGCTGCTAAACAAATAGTAAACATGGAAGCCAGAGTGCTGTGTTCACACTTCCCCTTCAGCCCACATCGTGCTCTGTGGTCACCCTGTCCCCCGACCATGTGTGGCGAGCTCTGTGAGGGCAGGGCAGGCCTGGCCCAGCTGTGTGTCCTGGAGGGTCTGCTTGAATGGATCCTGGACTGCAGATGCTGAAGCTGCTCTCCCTCACGTGCTCCTGGCATCTCCTGGACACACCCCCAACAGGGAGCTCCTTGCAGGAGAGCACTGCGTGTGGTCTCTCCCTGTCCCCAGCCCTGGCCTGGCCCAGGTGGGCACCACCCACAACACACTTGGGGGTTAAATCACAGCTGCCACCACTTCCCTGGAGCTGGCACATCTCAGTGCAACGTGATTGTTAACAAATAGTGAGAACCTTGAGGAAGTGGACTCGACAATCTCAAGTGGACCCCCCAGTTTCTTTCTTTTTTTTTTAAAGATGACCGGTAAGGGGATCTTAACACTTGACTTGGTGTTGTCAGCACCACGCTCTCCCAAGTGAGCCACGGGCTGGCCCTAGGACCCCCCAGTTTCAACAGGCATGAATCTACTTCATTGCCTGGAAAAACATATTTAATGTTCCAGAAAAAAACCAAAACAACCCCAACAAAACCCCCTCCAACTCCCCAGGCTACACTAAATGAGCTGTAACTGACAGAAAGTCCTGGAAGGAGTAAGCCAGGAGCCACGGTTCATATCAACCTGGGTGAGGGCTGTCTCCTGGGTGCCACGGCTGGGGGTGGGGGGGGTATGATTCATACACCAGCGACCTAAGTACTAGGATTTTTGTTCAGTGGCTTCTAGCTTCAGAGCAGCCATCTCTCCCCAAAGCAGCCAGAAGTGACGCACCCCGAGGGCCCATTCGCCAGGGCAGCTGCTCTGGTGTAAGGAAGACGGGAACTGACCCAGGACAACTGGCCTGAGAAAGGGGCGTGGGCAGAAGAAAGGACAGAAGCTAACATCTGCTGAGGGCCTGCCCTGTTTGGCCACTGTGCTGGGCCCTAAGCAGGGAGGACTGTGCCCATCTTACAGAGAGCGCCACTCAGTCGCTAGTGAGGGGGAGAGTCACAGCGCAACTCCAGGCCTTCTGCCCAGAAAGCCCAAGCTCTCAACCCACTTTTAATGACACCAGTAACCACCGATGTGAGGCACCAGCTCAGAGAGGTTCACGAACGTGCCCAAGGTCACCCAGCTGGGATCCAGATCTGGGAACCTCCAACAGGGGAGATGGTCGCAGTTGGAAGCCCCTGGCTCTTCTGACGCTCCATTCCAAGACAGAGACCTCGAGGTGAGCCGTCCCAGGCTCCCAGCACAGACCCCCACTCCAGGCCTCAGTGGTGGGCCAGGCTGGGATGCTGTTTATGCTGTGATGTTAGTTAATCCTTATTACAGCATTTAAGCAGGGATGCGCGAGGTTGCGAGTGGTGATTTTCTAAATGTCACCTCCTATAAGCACTGTCTGACATTTAGCGGGAAGGCGCAGAGTCTCTGGTGGGTTCCGGGATGGCAGCAGCTCCTGGCTTCACTGTCCGTCGTAAATAACACAGCACCATGGCCGTGGTGGTGCTGCTTGTCCCCTGAGGCTGCAGGGTCCTGGGACACAGGACCTTCTGGCCACTCTAAGGCCAGCCCAGTGCGGCGACCGTGGTATGACTCCAGGCAGGGGCCCTGGTAAGGCCCCCATTCCCTTTGAAACTCAGAGGTAGCTGGACAGTGGGAAGGGCCAGGGAAACTAAGTTCCTACCAAGCACCAGGCACTGTGCTGGGTATGTTACAGATGAGGAAACTGAGGCACAGGGACCTGCCCCAGGTCACCCAGCAGGCGTGTCTGACTCGGGTGGGTCTGTCCACTGCCCTGACTCTCCTGCTGGGGTGGTAGCAAGCCAGGCTCTGCAGGTGAGGGCCCCTGAGCCGGGGCGGAGCGAACAGGGTCAGGCAGGGGACAGGGAGGGATCCGAGACTGACCCAGAAACTCAGTCCACACACGTCCCAGCTCTCAGTCCCGCTGGGTTCATGACTGATTTGAGCCTGAGCCAGCGTTGGCCCTGAGAAAGCCAGAGAAGGGTGCGAGTGAAAGGGAGGCTGAATGGGGAGGGTCACCCCGTCCCAGGCCAGGCACGGACATGGGTGCTGGAGACCCACGGGCCTCCCTCGTCCCTCCTGCCTGAAGGAGCTTGCACCTGGGCCTGCAGCCCCACAGTGCTCTCTCCTATACGTTCCCTGGGTCAGAGGTGGAAACTGAGGCTCAGGGAAGGGAGGGATTTGCCCAGTCACATCCTTCTCCATGGATTGAGACTCCAGCCCTGAAGGTGTCTGCAGTCCATGGGGCTGAGAGGATGCGGTGTCCCCACCAAGGGCGGCATTCTAGGGGGGTGACAAGGAGGGGCCTGTCCTCCATCTCTGGCCCCTCCTCCGCTCCACCTCTGTCGCCGCCCTTGCCTGTCTCTCCTATCGGCATCCAGCATCCGTCTTTCTTCTAGAACACAAAGCTGAGCATGTTTGCTCCCCAACATCAGTGTTCGGAAGCTTCTCTGGCCTCAGGGTGCAGACAGCCTCTGCTTCCTGCTCTCCTTCCCTCACCCCGTGCTCTCCTGGACCAAGGCGCTTCCCAGCCCTCTGGGCTCCCGCACAAGCTGCTCCTGCCTCTAGACTGCTGTCCCTCCTCAGGGCTCAGCTGAGGTGTCATCTCCTCCAGGACGCCATCCCCGACTCCCGCACGTCCTGAACTTAACTGCTCGTTCCCGGGTCTGTCTTCCCATTAGGACTGGGGCTCCCTGAGGGCAGTGCCCAGGCCGGCAGCACCCCAGATCTTGGCACCCAGTGGGTGCATGATGCATGTGTGTTCAGCAAGAGAACAACACAGGAAGGAGAGACAGAGGGGTGGGGGAGGAAGAGCCAAGACATGATATAGCACATCTGTCCCCACCAGGGATCTGTGTGGAGATTAACATCCCTGCAAATGCATTAATATGTCAACGAAAATATAAAAGCAGGCGATAACAGCTCAAGTAATGCCACTTCCCAATGACGCCCGTATTCCTCGGAGCCAAATTTCAGAAGAGCAAGTGGCAAGCAGCTCAATCCCCTGCGCCGGGTGGGAAAGACAGAGCATCCGGGTGAGGGCTCGAGCAGGGCCCAGTCTCACTCAGGAGCAGGCACACCGGGTCCTGGGAGGGAGCAGCAGCTGGAGACATGGGTCCATCCAGGCCAGCAGGGGAGTGGGGGCCTTGGGGCAGGAGCAGCAAGCCAAGGGCTTGGGCCTGGGGTCAGGCAGACCTGGGCTCCTCCACTTAGAGGCTGTGCTGCTTTGGGCGGGAGACTAAACCTCTCTGAGCTGCCACCTGAGGATGGCATGGACTCAGGGAGTGGTGCACACTTGGCATGGTCGTAGGTGCTGACAGTAGGTGCTCCACCAATGGAGCCGCAATGGTCCCTGACACCAGACGCACGGTGGACCTGGTCCTGGCCCCTGGCAGTGGGATGAGAGGGGTGCTGCGGTGGGTGGTGCGGGGGAAGATGCAGAGCAGGAGTCAGACCTGGTACTGAGCCTGCTTGCATGCCTTGCCAGTCGCTCAACCTCTCAAAGACCCCAAGCATCAGCCATTACATAGAAACAAAGATCTCCCCCTTCTACAGCTGGGGAGATCATCTTGGAGATGACGTCCACTGATGGGTGCCAGGCCAGGAAAACAGAGACTTGGGCCACAGGCACGGCTCTGTCCCACCACTTGCTCAAACAGCCATTACATAGAAACAAAGATCTCCCCCTTCTACAGCTGGGGAGATCATCTTGGAGATGACGTCCACTGATGGGTCCCAGGCCAGGAAAACAGAGACTTGGGCCACAGGCACGGCTCTGTCCCACCACTTGCTCAAACAAGTCTCTTCACTTCTTTGGGCTCAGTTTTCCTCTTCTGTAAAATGGGGCAAGTCAGACCTACAAGACCTTGTCCCAAGAGCTGGAGACTGACCTAACAGGGGGAGCTGCCCCTGCTCCTTCCATAAGACAGGAAAAGTGGCCCATGTGCCCGTGGACAGGCTGAGGAGGTGGGAGTGGCCAGAGGGGCCCTTTCTGTCCAGGGCCGGCTCTCCCAGCTGCCAGCCTGGGTGGGCATCACCTCTGCTCTCTCTTGAAGTGAGCTTCCCTGAGGCTGATGGGAAGAAAAAGGCACCCCAGCGATGGCAGCTACCTGACGGCAACCGCCAGGCCACTGCTAAGACCTGTGGGCTTCGGCAAGGAGGGGTGAGTGGTCCCTGAGCGACTGCATTCAGCTGGGACCAGAGCAGCGAGGGACTCGGGCTGACCCTGGCTGCCTGTGTCCGGGCAGCCCCAGGCCCTGCCCTCCCACCAGCACCCTCACCTTGATCATCTGAGACAGGTCACCTGCATCGGCCAGCTCCAGCACAATGTTCAACTCGTTGTCCTCGATAAATGAGTCCAAATACTTGATGATGTTCGGGTGGTTCAGTTGCTGGGGGAGAAGAAAGAGAGGGAGGTGGTCCCTGTGAAAGGTGGTGCAGCCCCAGTGCCCCACATGCTGGCACCCCGTTCATGGGGGCCCTGGCATTTGCTGGAGAGGTGGGTGCCCAGGGGAAAGGCCCGCACTTGGGAGTTAGACAGACCTGGGTGACATTGGAAAAGCCACTTTGCATCCCTGGGTCTCAATTTCCTCATCTGTATAATGGGCATCATGTTTGAAGAGTAGTTGTGAAGATCAGATGAGCTCATGCACCTGAACACAGCTGAGTTAGCCTCAAGCAATGCATGTGGAAGTGCCCCTCCTCCTCACCTCCATGACCCTTGAGGACAGGACTGGCCCCACAGCTCTGTCCCTGTGCTCAGCACGTGGCTGGCCTGCAGGTGGTGCGCAGGAGGACTCCTTTTCTCCCTTCCCACTCTGTCTCAATTTCTGACCCATCCCTTGTGAAATCTTGAAAAACATGCGTGGCATGACAGCCGCCCTGCCTGACCAGTGCTGAGACCCTGCCGCTGGCCTCCCCAGGATGACCTGTGCTTGCTGAGGTGGCGTGTGGAGCCCGGGGGGGATGGAGCCAGGACAGGACAGAGCCAAACGGCTGGAAGTCAGGCCCTGCCGGGCTAAGAAGAGCCTCTGGCAACCACTTATAACAAAACTGTCTACACAAAATGAGTCCTGGATCTGGGGAAAGCAGAGGAGACTCAAATATCCTGCCATAGTGTGGTCGGCTCAGTCCATACATCAGCCTACAGAGGCCAATTTACAGCAGATTTTCTAAAAGGCCTGAAGTTGCTGGGAGAATACTACATGCTGACCTGTGCCTGTCCTTGGATTCTAGAATGAGGGGGAACCTGGGCAGACACTATGGAGCCATGCCATCTCCTGTTCATTCATTCTCCACGCCAGTCCGATGGGTGGGCACCCCTCAGTCAGGCCCCCAGGAGCTGGAGGCGACCTCAGCCATTGGCCCCAGCTCCTACCAGGTCCCACCAGAGACTGACCCCACTCTGTCCTGGTGCCCACTGCCTGTCCAAGTCCTCAGGCCCCTGCTCTAGACCAACTCTTGGCCCTGAGGCAGGTGCACCTGCTCCGGTCCGTCCCCTCAGCTGAGGGCAGTCCTGTTGGGTTGCCCAGCACCGTGGCTCAGTAAGTATCCAGACACACCTGAGGAACTGGGCACCTGCACAGCTCGTGATGCAGGGGTGGCACATTCGATCCGTCATCCCTTTTCCTGGTTCCCAAGGGTTACTGGAGTGGGGGACCCTTTCACCCATCTTAGCAGCAGGCTCCCCATGTGGAAGCACCTTGGTCAGTGACAAATGAGGGTAATTCACACAAGACAGCTGGACTTCAGGAGGCAGCATGTCACGCTTGCTCAGCCTGGGCCCTCCACCTCAGACCCCCTCTATCCCTGCCCCCTACACCTTGAGGCCAGCTCACGTTCCTCTCCTGTAAGAAGGAAGCCCGCACTGTTCTCCAGGTCACAATCCCTTCTCTTCCATGTCCACAGCCTGCACCTGTGCATTCTCCTTTCCATCCCCCCAACCTCTTCTCTCTCTAACTGCCCCAACTGTCGTGTGAGTGTCACTGTGTGCTAGGCACTTGAATCTTAAATCCACTCCAGTGCTGCAGTCTGCCACCAAGAGTGGGGCCTGTCTCCCCTGCACCCCCTCCCAGGCTACTGTGTGCACCTGCTACCTGCCAGGCCCCATGCTGAGCCCAGGGTGCCTAATGAGCACTCGGGCAGATTGTGCCTTCCAGGGCTCATACTCTAGTCACGGAGAGGAAGGCAAATGCCACCAACCCACTTGGGCCCAGCCGCAGCCTGGGCAGGGCTCAGCCATGTGCTCTGGAATGTCGTCATGAATGCTCTTGGAAACCAGGAGTGTGCAGAACAGGGCAGGAAGCACCCAAGAGTTGTCCTGTCCTGAGAGAGGAACATCAGGGGTAGAAGTGTCTGTGACCTGTCTTCCCTGCTGGGCTCCATCTCCGTGGCTAGCATCAGTGGTGCTCAAAAGTGCTGAATGTACCAGTACACATTGCATTCCAACAGGGCCCGCCTTCTTGGCCCATGCTTGGCCCCAGCAGCCCGTGCACTGGGAAGTTTTGGGTTTTGGGTCTTGGCATGAGCGATATGAATAATGTCGCCTGGTGGCCCCTCTGAGAACCGTGTTTCCTTTTGTTTTGTAGGAAGCACCTCGTGCCTCTGCAACATCCTGTTGACTTCCCACAGGCTGCCTGGGGAGCTGGATTGGCGTTCTGGAAAGGGGCTGGCGTTGGCGGGGAGAGGTGATAACCATGATGACAAGGGCTGCTGGGGACTGAGTGTGTACCACCTGCCAGCCGTTGCTCTGCAGATCAGGTGCGTTTCCCCACCGACCCCTGCAGCACCTCTGAACAGCACTGCTGTCAGCATACCCCTTTTACAGATGAGGACACTGAGGTCCTGAGCAGTCCACATCTGCCTGTGGCCTCACAGCCAGCGAGCAGGGATGTGCCACCTCTGAAGTCTGTGCTCAATGGCACTCGACTGCACCACACCCCGGGGAAGAGACAGAATCCCCTTGCCAGCCAAGCGGGTTCATGCCAGGCTTGGACTGCTTCAAGGCAGGGGCTGAGGTCGCACATTTCTGCTACCAGGGACCCAGAACAGGCTGTACTCAATAAGCATGCATGTAGAATTCCTCCACCCAGGGAGAAGGGCACCCGAGCCCGGTGATCGGTCAGAGTCCCCAGGATCACAAAACTCACACTAGGTCACCTTCCCCTGGGCTCTCGGCCACCTCAGTCGCTCCACTTCTGTTGCCACATTCAAGTCCATTGTCCTGAGCTGGATCTGGTCCTGCCAACATCTCCACTGCGCATCCCCTGCACCTCCTATAATCTACATTGTCACAGTTCCCTGAAGTGGCTCATCTCAGCCTTCCAGACTCCGGGATGGTGCCCAGGCCATAGGGGGCCTGCCCAGGAAGCGGGTGTCCCCTGAGCTCCCTGGCCCCTCAGCTGGCCTGCATCACCCTAGATCACTATCTGCTGCCCACCTGTTCCCCATGAGCTTGTGAGCCCTGAGGGCAGGGCCCAGGCTGAGAACACAGGGAGGCTGTGGCTTCAGCGGGTGTCACTGCTACCAGCAGCCCCACTTTGCCAAAAGCTGCTGAGCAAACTCTCTGTGTGTTTCGTGGGAAGGGAGGAGGATGCTGAGTGGGCACCTACTGTGTGCTCTGCTGCGCCCCGCCCTTTTCCAGCATTATTTTATTCAGTCCTCTTAATCCTCCCATACACTATGAGCCAGGTACTCTTGTCATCGAGTAAATGGGCAAACTGAGGCTCAGGGAGGTTAAGTCACTTGCTTAAGGTCACACAGCTCATAAATAAACATGACATCAGGATTCGAACCCAGGCTCCGGGGCCTCCAAAGTTCAAACCTTTTCTTCTCTCCCAGCCTCCTCTGTCACCTCTGAGATCCCGGGCAGAATCCTAAGCCTGGTGTAGAGAGGAATCCCCAGGAGAAAGCAGCCCCAGCCCAGGGCCAAAGTCTAGTCCAGAAAGTTCTGTTGTCTCTTGGTCTGGGGAGACCAACCCAGAAGCCAGCAGCAAGGGGGGACAATGACAGACACCTACTCACTGCCCCATGCACGCTCCCTGGATGGGCCCCGGCACATCTGTCACTCGGTGTGACCCTGTCCAACTAGCCCAGCTTGGGCAGAACCAAGGACTTCTGCTCACAGAGGGGCAGGCACAAGGGCTGCCCTCAGGGGACCCATCTCCACTTGTGCATCCTGCCTTCTCCTTGTGGGAGGCCTGGGGAAGAGCCCAATAGGTGACAGCACAGGGGTCCCTCCAGCACCCGGGAAACCTGGGCCCCACGCTTGACTGTTAATCCTCCCCACTACCCCAAGTGGGCATTGCTGGGCCATCCAAGCCATGGCATCTCCTGGTGGGAGCAAGAGGAAGGGAGAGAAGAAAAAACACACGTGTGGTTGACTCTTCAAATGTGTGTGCTCTGTACAAAGTAGGATAAAAGGCAAAGAGGAAAGAGGGAAAGAGAGTGAGAGGGAGAAAAAGAGGGGCACAGAGACAGACGAGCTGCACTCTGATCCGATGCCCACACCCGGCTCCTCCCTCGGTTACGCGGGTCCAGAGGCCACTGCATGGCACGGGCATGAGAGCCCTGGGCAGAAGGACTTCCAAAGCTGCACTCTGATCCGATGCCCACACCCGGCTCCTCCCTCGGCTACGCGGGTCCAGAGGCCACTGCATGGCACGGGCATGAGAGCCCTGGGCAGAAGGACTTCCATGCCAGTCACTACCATCCACAGCACGATTGCTGCGGGCCCAGGACCGGGAGGGCTGGAAGAGTCGCTGTCCCCAGAAAGGCATCGTTTCTGAACTTAGCAGTGGCTATGGGTCCCTGACACCCATGGGCTATGACAGACATGATGTGGCCCAGCTGGGGGCCTGGGGCCACTCCGAGGAAGCAAGGGCTCCTGCTCTGCTCAGCCGAGGACACTCACCTTCAGGAGGCCGATCTCTTTGACGCAGTCTTGCCTCGCCTTGGCGTCCATCATCTCAAAGATCTTGGGTGTGAGGAAAAGAGAAATACAGCGGTTAAAACCAGCACCCAGCGCCCCCACGGGGAGCCACAAGGACCGGGATTCAAGTCCTGGCTTTCTGCCCTGCTCACCGAGGGACCCCTGCAAGCAACGGTTCCTGCTTGCTGAGCGCCCATCACGAGCCAAGCACTGTGTTAGCCACTTCCCACCGAGTCCTCACGACCCTCCACGAGGTAGGAGTTACTGTACCCAACTTACAGAGGAGGAGACTAAGGCCCAGAGAAGTCCAGCGACTTGCTGAGGCCACGCTGGTAAGTGGCAGCCCAGGATGCACTCTCAGAGCCTCAGTTTTCACCTCTGTAAATGGGGCCAACAGCCCGACCTCCCAGGGTTGTCATGGGAATCGCATAAGAAGATTTGGGTACCGCACCTCCCATACCCCCAACCCCTTTACTGCACATCAGTGTGAGTCCTCCTGATACCTTCTGACTTAGAGGCATAGACAAAAGGTTTTGTAGCTGCCCCACCACAAAACCCGTCATGGCACAAAAGAACCCAGACACAGAGAACCCAGGTGAGTCCTCCTTAGATGAGGAGCAGAAAATGGGCCTTTTGGGGAGAGGTTCACAGATCAACAAGGAAACAGTCAAGCGGGTCTTCTTCCTGCTGCCCCCACCCCAGGTTCCTCTGAGCTGCCTTCTCTCCCCTGGGCCTCCACTGCCCAGGCTGGGAATCCCGGTCTTTAAGGACAAATGAGCAATCAAGGGACTCCAGAAGCTTCACTGGAGGATCTAAAGCATGACCTAGTATACAGCAGGTGCTCAATGCATGCTCATTCTTCTTTTCTTTCATCGTTCACAATGAGCTTTCATAAACATGGGTCTACCCGATTCTCCCACAGCCCGGTGAGCTGGATGTTCATTTCCCTCATTACACAGGCAGGGCAGGGGCGGGCCCAGACGCAGAACCAGCTCCTGCGACACAGCTTTGACCCTGCAGGGTCATCGGCTCACCTGCACCTTCTTCAGAGCCACCGTCTTCCTGTCCAGCAGACAGGTGGCCTTGTACACCTCGCTGAACTGTCCTCGGCCTATCTTCTTCTCGATCTGGAAGTCCGCCAGCGAGCAGCGAAAAGACAGGGTGTTGGGGAGCCTCTAGAGGGGAGGGACAGAGGGCACGGGTGACCAGCCAGGCTGGAGTGGAGGGCCAGGCCTTGGCGGCAGGGGACCCCTAGCGTCCCAGCACCCCCAACAGTGCTCCTCTGAGGTGTGGGGGGGACTTCACTTACCAACCCCACTCTCAGAGCCTCGCATGTGCCCCTGGGGGCTTTCTGCACCTGGTCCTGTCTGCTGCCACAGAGACTCCACTGTAGGTGAGAGACTGAGGCTGTTCTTGGGGGAAAGAACACCCTTGTCACCGTCCCCCATGACATGACTACTTGTTTGTTTGCTCGGCTCTGATTCCTGTCCTGGAAGGCTGGCTCTGCGGGGCCGGGGGCCTCGTGCCTTGTTCACTCCTAAATCCTTTATGCCAGGGCCAGGCCCGGCAAGCAGT